ACTGGCAGAATAGAAAAGAGAAACATAATTATAGTTGGAGATTGCAACATCTTTATTTCAATAATTGATAAGCAGGTATACAGAGAATGAGTAAGAATGCAGAAGACTTGAACAACTCTGTCAACCAATTACATGTATAGAATACGTCACCCAACAACAGCAGGATACACATTCTTTTCAAGTGTACATAGAATATTTACCAAGATAGTCCTTATTCTGGCCATAAACAGGTCTCAATAAATTTAAAAGAATTAACAATACAAAGAATGTTCTCTGTTAACAATGGAATCTAAGAAATCAGTAACAGAGAAATAGCTGGAGTATTCCCAAATATTTGAAAACAAAATATCATAGTTCTAAATAACCCATTGGTCAAAGAAGAAACCAAAAAGGAAAATTTTAACTGAAGGAAATGAAAATAACAAAATTTCAAAATTTGTGAAATGAAGCTAAAGTACTGCTTTGATGGAAATTTATAGAATTAAATACTTATGTTAAGAAGATCAAATCAATGACCTAAGCTTCCATTTTAAGAAACTAGACGAAGAAAAGCAAATTAAACCCAAAGTAAACAGGAAAAAAGGAAATACTAAAGATTGGAGTTGAAATCGAATAAAAAGAAAACAAAATTAATAGAGGAAAAAGATCACTGAAACCTAAATATGTTTCCCAGGAGATTAAAATTCTTTTGTGGGCTCCCTTGCTCATAAGATAAAGTCTAAAATCTTTAACTTGGGTTCATGTTCCTGCTTGATTTAGCCTCTACTTATTCTCTCTGACCTGGTTTCTAATTTTCTCTGCTGTGGTTATGCTGGCCTTTCAGATTTTCTGTTGTCCTTTCTACTGGCACAGGACCATTGCACATGCTGTTTCCTCTGCCCACTTCCCAACTGTCTCAGTGTTTTTGCTTCCTACCCACTTCCACCTAGTTAATGCCTACTCGTCCTTTAGATTTAGTTCTAATCTAGAGCATACCCTACCCTAACCTGTAAACTCCATTAGGGCAGACACTGTATTTGTTTTGCTCAATATTTTACCTTCAGTACTTAACACATGCCTTGCTTATGGTGGATTATCAGCAAATATTTGTCATATGAATAAAGTAATTCTAATAATGGATATTTTTTTAGGATATGGCCAGTTCAAACATTACTCTTTTTCTGTATCTCTTGAATCAGTATCCTGAAGATTGAAAGATCACTATTCTTGCACTTATGAGAATTAAGAGAGAGTATTTAGAGATTTCACCATTTTTTTTTTCACTATTTATACTTCACCTATTCATCCATTCCCCTGTGAAAATCTGCTGTAGAGTCAAGTTTATTTTGTCTTCTGATGTATATACTCTAGTGCTGGATAGTTCTGTCATTAAGGCTACTTTTTGGTTTGTCTCACTGTATCATCCATATTAAAGAAGAACCTTGGCACAACTTGTGCCAAATAAACTAGTTTAAAATGATGGTAAATTGGGGGAATTTAAGAATATTTCACATGCGAATACTTTTCAGCTTAAAGATAGTATATCAGTGATTAAAAAGTGAAATCAATGCCTCAACACTCTGATTGAAATTTTGTACCCCAGCCGTTGGCTTTTTATTCCTCAAAACAACTCTATGATGTAGGAATTAATACCATTTTACAAACTTTTAGTGACTTGCTCATTCTCAGAGTTAACACTGTGTTCGAATTTAAACCTAACTCCGAGGCGCTAACCCACCGTTTTCGCACTGCCACCCACACAGAAAATTCAAACTATTAAAAAAATGTTGCCATACTAAGCGTCAAATGTTTAGGTCCTAGTGATATATTAGCTAACAATGACCAGCAATTATTTCAGTTTCTCTGACTATGACGTAGTCAGTTAAATGAGTTCTCTAAAATAAGATTGTGATCAACTCTTCACAGATAGCACCCTAGTAAGAAAGAGAAGGTAGAGTTCAGCTTTTATCTAACATCAACTTAATTATATAAAATGCTGATTTCCTATTACATAAAGCATATGCAAACAGAACAGTGGGAACTTAGCATAAAATGTAGGTCGTAAAAAAGATTTTCATTAAATGTGAAAAATGCTCATTAGCATTATAGTTCAGTCATATAGTTCAGTCAATAGTTCAGTCATCAGCTAAGAAAACTGAAAAAAAATTGATTAGCTGAAGAGTAATGTTCTGGCTTAAGAGTTAAACTTAAGTATTACATTCAGTGAGGTAAGCTGTTGATATAGAAACTGGGAGAGAAAGGGCAGTCCAGAAGATAAATTTCAGCTTGTTGCTGGAACTACAAGTTGAGACATTTTGTGCTCTAGCAGGTAGGGAACTATATGAAAGAATCTCTGATGTCATAATTCCTGGGTGTCACTGGGATATTTTATCATCATTCATTTGGTGAAGATGGTATAAACAGAGGAGAACTCAGGGCCCAGAGAACAGAATAGAGAGGACAGTATAAGATGTATTCTTCCTTTCTCCTTATTCCTGTTACTTGGGTATTTCAAGCCTCTTTTGAGGAAACAGGAGAGAAGAGGTAGTCCAGGCATTAGAGAAAGGGTTTAGAGAGTCCTACATAGGAAGAACGATAAAGAAATAGGTAAAGGTGCAGTTTGAGGCTTTTGGCATAGGGCAAGGACATGGCTAGATTGGATTAGTTTGGGTTATTAGTCAAGGGAAAGTCTGGAAGACAAAGGAAATGAGGAGACTGGGATATAAAGTGAGGAGAATCTCGTGATTTTGTGCAGATTGATTAGACTGTCGGTTTAGAATAGATACAGATAAAGTAATTCATAGATTAAAATATTTAATGTTGGAAAATAAACAAGGCAATGGCAACAAGAATAAAACCTTCACACAAACTTTAGAGACAATTTTTTAGCTAGGTTTCAGCTTGTTGCTGGAGCTATGAATCATGATATTTGTTAGCAGGTAGGAAACTATGTGAAAGAATCTTCTGGTGTCACAATTTCTGGGTATCACTGGAACATTTGATCATCATTCCTTTGGCAATTCCAGCCTTCTCTGGAAGGTCAGTAGAAGCAATTGATTTATTCACCTCTACAGGAATCAGACTCGGCCTGTTTTGGTAAGTCTGTGTGTCCTTGATCAAGTTAGCTGAAGCTTAATACTTAAATATGATAGCTAGTTATACTAAACCATAGTTTTTACTATGGTTTTACTAGTCATTGAGCATAACACTTTTTTCTTTGATAATGGACACACAGTCTATAAAAACTATTATATAATATTCAAATTCCAAAACTTTTAATAATTTAGTTTTATTATTACCACAATAAACACTTACTTATTAGGCATAGAACACTGCACTAGGCATAAGAAACAGTTACAAGACATTTTTCATTTTTCCTGCCCTTTGCTGAAGACATGTAAATTTATACAAGATAGAGCTATTTTACCCACTGTGTCCCAGACACTGTTCTAGGTATTAAGGATTTAATCAGTGGTGACAAAGACAGACATGGAATGGGAGTGGGGGGGACAATGATTAAGCAAAAACATTTACAAAAAAATTAGAGCACTGGTTCTCAACAGGGGGGAGATTTTTCTCCCCTTTTCTACCAATTGATATTTGACAATGTCTGGAGATATTTTTGTCGTAACTTTGGGGTGGGGTGCTACTGGCCTGTGAGTGAGTGAGTGGAGGCCTTGGATGCTGCAAAACTTCCTACAATGCACAGGACAGTCTCCTCCCTCCTAAGCAAAAAGTTATATGACCCTAAATGTCAATAGTATCAGGGTTGAGAAATCCTGAATTAGAGTGATGATAACTGCTATAAAGCAGAAGTAGAGTGCTAAGAAAACATATAATGGAGGGGTTATAAAAATCTTCTCCGAGAAAGTGAAATTTAAATTCAGACTTAATGAATGAGTTGGCCCTAACAACTAAAGAGTGGGAGCAGTGAGGTGGGGAAGAATTCCAAGCAGAGGCAACAGTAGGCAGTGAGGAGCTTATTTTGTGTAGTTGTGTGTGTGTATGTGTATCATATATATCGTATGTATCTCATATATACATTACATTGTATATGTGTATGTATATATTTAATCATGCTCAGTAGTATCTGCTGAGTAATAGCAGCTAACATTTATTGAGCCTGTACTACGTGTTAGGCACTGCATTTCACATGTATTACTTTATTTAATCCCCACTATTACCCTGGAGGTAGATATTATTATTAAGCTCAGTTTATCTTTTTTTTTTTTTTTGCGGTACGCGGGCCTCTTACTGCTGTGGCCTCTCCCGTTGCGGAGAACAGGCTCCGGATGCGCAGGCTCAGCGGCCATGGCTCACAGGCCCAGCCGCTCCGCAGGGACCGGGCACAAACCCGTGTCCCCTGCATCGGAAGGCGGACTCTCAACCACTGCGCCACCAGGGAAGCCCCAAGCTCAGTTTATCTTGGTTTATCTTTGAGAAGCATACTTGGTGGTTAAGTACTTTGCCTAAGATCATGTAGTTGGGAAGAGCCAGAGCCAGGATTTGAATCCAGGTCAGTCCAGCTCTTCCAAGGCACTTTCTTAACTAATGCACTGTAAATGTAGAGAGGCAGGGGGTAACAAATAATCACCAGGAAGAGAAGGAATAGCTGTAGATATCAGGCAGATGTGAAACTCCTGTACTTCAAAGGAAGACAAGGGTTTAGATAGGCAGAGAGGCAGTGGGAGCTCAAGCTTGTCAATTGCCATAACCATTCAAAGGAAAACAATTTTTTTTCACATAACATAAATGGACTTCAGTTATGTTAACCATAGGGCACAGTTTACTTTATCATCTAGTGGCTATTTTATATTTGCTCAAGACTTAAAATTGTATGTAAAGGAGAGTTATATAATAGAGTATTTACGTACTTTTATAGATATTTAAGTATGTCATTTTCAGAGTGTTCCTATATGCCTATAGCAAAATTAATATTAAGAATTTCAAAGAACTATTTAAAAACAACTCACCCCTCCTCTCCATTATTTTAACTTTCTAATCTAGGTTTTCAGTGAATTATGCCTTTTCAGTTTGGGACCCAGCCAAGGAGGTTTCCAATGGAAGGGGGAGATCCTTCACTTGGGCTGGAGCCTGGGCTGAGCTCCAGTGCTTCCTGTAACGGGAAAGAGATGTTACTAACCAGGTAAAAAGTCTTCTTGTCCTAACAACTGAGGAGATGTGTAATGGCTATCATCAATGCAATTTTAGCTGACATTCAATTAGTAAGAAAGAAGCCTAGGAGCATTGCTGTTATTAAATTAGTATTACCAGAGCCCAGGTTTTCTTAGCATAGAGTCTGTATATTGTAAGAATGATAGACCAGTTTTGGGGGGTAAATATTTAGCTAGTTTTTTGTTAATAGTTTCAAGATTATATAACATTTAATCAAATAAGCAAACCTTTAGTGCTATGATGTGCAGGGCACTGTGCTAGGCCTAAGGCTACAAAATATGAAAAAGACTCAGACCTCAGAGTCAGTGTCACTTTGGCTTTGACTTGACCTTTGGCAGAAGGAGAGTGGTAGAGAGGTGAAGATTCTATTTTTGCAAAATTGAAGAAAACTGTAATAGGATTTATTCCGCTTTTCTTCTGTTTACCATAGTACATTGTTTGATTTCTCATGGCTTGGAATTTTCAGAACACAGATTTAAGCTTAATAAGGTAGGTACTTTAAACATCAAAGTTATTCAAGGATAAAATAGGCTACTTTGGGAAATACTGATCAATAGTCTTTAGAAATGTTTAAGGTTGGGTTATTATTTGATGGGGATGTTGAAAAGGAAATTCAAGCACTAGGTGTATTTTTAGACTAGATGTTATTTAAGGGCTCTTTTAAACCTGAGATCCTATCAACATTTGAGTAGTATGTGGAATAATATGTTCAGTTTTATATTTTTCCACAAATATTCTAGTTTTTAAATCACTCAACTGGAGTGACTTTAAGGTGCATATATGTATGAATTGCCATAGTATTATCACTTATGTTTACAACTATGCACTCCCCCCGCCCCACTTTTCTTTGCCATTTAGCAATCACTGCATACCTTTCAAAAGAACATCTGGAGGGTTATCTTTGTATTTATAAATTTCTTTTGATTAAATGTATGGCACAACATTTAACAACAGTTTCTTTGCAATGTAAGTCTAAAATGTCTGCCTCATTAGTGCCACTGTGTTATATTTATTTTGTGACATTCAGAGATTTCAAAAAGACTTAAAACAGTTGAATGAATATACACTCAAACTTTGGTTCTCTGAAAAAAATTTCCTTTTTTATATCTAAGTACATGTCATTTTCTCTTTTATTTAGGCAACTCCGAAGATGCCCTGGAAATCATTGCCTGACAATAACTGGTGTTCCCATCACTGTCTTTGCAACAGTGCGAAAGCCACCTGCACAAAGCAGCAAGGAAATGCATCCTAAATACCATCATTAAGTCTTTTGTAGAGGTTTGACTAGGTCAAGGGTAATGGACCAGTATTGTCTTATGATCTGGTAAGCAAATAAAAGTGGTGGCACCTTTGGATGGTGACAGTAGTTGAAATATTTACTTTTTGTAGGGAAAGACCGGAATGTACTCTGTAAAACATGTGTAGTGATAAGCCATCAGTTATGTTTGATAGATAAGACAGAATAATATTTCACAATTAAAAAGTGCCTTAGAGATCATCTTGCTCACAGTGGATCATTAATATCAACAATGCTTAAGCTTCACAATGAAGCTTAAGCCACCTTGATTATCAGTCAGGAAGGGCCCATTCTAAATGCTTAATGTGTTTTGGGCTGATTTCCTTTGCTTATTTTTGGGTTGCTACTTAGCTGAATCCTTTCACTTGAATACCCTAAGCCAGTTTCTGTCTTTCTGTCTTTTGATAATGTTCTGCCCGGGAATGATTATATTGGGTGAGAAATGGAGCCCTGTGGGTTATGCATTTTGAAATAATACCCAAGACTGAAGGAAATTCTTAGTCCATGGTTAATCTGCAAAGCATATACACTGCTATCATATGGGAACTCAGGTTATTGGTTAAATTTATTATAATGAGGTCAAGGCTGTGATTCTAACCCCTATTTTTCCAGGAAAAATGATGTCTCATCATCACACTATTACCTCAAGTCCCAACCAGTCATCTTGAAATTGTCTACAGTTAGTATTGAGAAACCTCAGATTTTATTTTTTAATTTTATTCGATTAGACTTAAGGTTCAGTTTTGAGGTATAGACCAGCTCTTTCTGTTTTCTTTTTCTTCTTGTAATAGTTCCAAGAAACTCAGCTTGCTTTCTTTTCCTCTTGATGGTTGCCACTCATCATCCCATGAAATTTTTTTTTCTCCAAACGACTGACTTTAGTGTCAGATATAGTTTCCCCAGTTTCTTGTCTACTTTTCTGCTCCTGAAGATATATATATATATAAGCCTTTTTAAGTGAAAGGTTTATTAGCTTATAATTATATACATATAGATGCATGTGTGCTACATGAGGTGAAAAGAAAAGCTTTTCATCAGGGATTTATAAATGGAGAAATTCTGAGAGCTCACACAGTGCTAGGAGATGTTTGAATTCCAACCAGCCAGAGTAGAAAGACCTTATTGAACCTGTTGGGCATTGAGTAGAGTCCTCAGAAAGGTCATGTCTTAGTAGGAGGTCTAAAGTAGCACTAGATTAAAGGTTAATGTATACTAACTTTAACAAAGTTTAAAAATAAGACTTAAGAGAATCAAGATGATCCATGAGTAACTTAATTATTTGCCAAATAAAAATTTAATACTCCTCAAAGGAAGAGAAAAAAAATCCATAAAGGAAATTGCCCAAGGCTGGGGAAAGGATCATGGGAAAGGAGAAAGGAGTAATGAAGAATTCCTCAGAGCTCATACAAGGCTGGGAATAATTTGTGAATCAACCATAGTGGAAAGAGCTTTTAATATATGGAGTAGAGTCCTCAGTGAGATATTGCCTCAGTAGGGGTGGGTTTGGAGTGGAGGATAGCTTTAGACTGAAGGCTGCTCTGGACCTGCCCTAACAAAGCTTAAGAGCAAGAGTGGAAAGGGTCAAACTGATTCCAAGTAACTAAATTGCATCCAAGGAGGGAAAAAAACCCTCAAAATTTAAAGAAGTACAGTAAAATCCAGCACCAAAGATGTAAAATTCACAATGATGGTGTCCAATAAAAAATTACCAGGCATGCAAAAAAGAAGGAAAATGCAGTCCATAGTCAAGAGAATCATTAGTCAATTGAAACAGATTCAGAGTGCTGGACGATAGCATTAGCAGACAAGCTACCATAAGTGTTCAAGTGGTAGATGAAAGCATAATCACAATGAAGAGAGAAATGGAAGGTATAAAACGGACCCAACTGAACTTCCAGTGATGAAAAATACAATATCTGAAATAAAAATATACACTGAATGGGATCAAGAACAGATTATACACTGGAGAAGAAAAGATTAATGAACTTGAAGACATAGCTATACAAATTATCCAGAATGAAATATGAAGAAAAAAAGACTGGAAAAAAGAGCATAAATTTTGTGTTTTAATAGGAAGCAGTCTAACATATATGTAAGCAGTTTCCCAGAAGGAGGAGGGAGGACAGTAGAAAAATACTTGAAGAAATAATGGCCACAGTTTTTCCAGATTTGATGAAAACTATAAATTCACAGGTCCAAGTAGCTTAAATGACCCCAAAGAAAATAGACATGAATAAAACAAAACAAACAAAAAGCCATATAATTAAATTGTCTAAAAACCAGGGATAAAGAGAACATCTTAAAACCCAATAGAACCAAAGGACACATTCATTCAGAGGAACAACAACAACAAAAAGAATGAGGCACTTTTCATCAGAAAGCATGCAGGCAAGAAGGCAATGAAGTCATATCTTTAAAGTATCAAAAATGGTGAAGTAAGGACTTTTCATCAGTACTATAAGCAGATCAGTAGATCAGTTCTATAAGACATGTTAACGGAAGTTTTTTCAGGCAGAAAAAAATGATACTAGATGGAAATTTGTATAAGGAAATAAAGAGCACCAGAAATAGAAAATATGTGGGTAAATATAAAAGACTTTTTCTCATTTTTAAACATTTATTTAACAGGCAAATGACTGTTTAAAGCAGAAATAATAACAATAATTTATATAAAAGTATAATGTATGGTAACAATAGCAAAAAAGACAGGAGGAGGAAAATGGAAGTTTACTTTTGTAAGTGTCTTAGATGATTTATGAAATGGCATAATAGTATTTGAAGATTGATTGTGATGAGGTAAATATGTAATTGTAAACTTTAGATTTATCTCTAAAAGCAAACAGTAACAGAGCTAATACACCAGTCAGGCAGATTAAATGGAATAAATATCACTCAATTAATCCTAAAGAAGGCAGGAAAAGAGGAAAAAAAGAAAAAAGGTAATAGATGTAAACCAAACCATATTGACATTTGCATTAATTACAAAAGGTGTAAACACTTCAATTAAAAGACAGATTATGAGATTGGCTAGAAAAGAGGATGGTGTCTACATGAACCTACGTTAAGAGTCTCATGCTGTACTGATTGAGCTAACCAGGCACTACATGAACCTACTTTAAATTAAAAGTATAAAAGGATAAAAATAGATATCCCATGTAAACATTAATCAAAAGGAAGTTGTAGTAGCTATATTAATAACAGACAAGAAGATTTTAGAGCAAGGAATACTACCAGAAATAAAGAGGGACATTTCATGATGATAAAAGGGTCATACAATCTTAAATGTTATGCAGAGCTTCAAAGTACATGAATCAAAAACTGATGGAAAGAACAAATAACTCCACATTTATAGCTTAACATTTTTCAACAACTGGTAGTAGAACAACAGTACAGCAGAATACTATACATTCTTTTCAAGCACACATGGAAAATTTACCAAGAATAGACCATGTTATAGGCAACAAAACAAAGTATGCAGAGTGTGCAAAGTATGTTCCACAATAGAATTAAATTCAAATTCAACAGAAAAATGTCTGGAGACTCTCCAAATATTGGAATACTAAATGAAACACTTTCAAACAACTCATGAATAAAAGAAGAAATTACAGGAGAAATTAGAATGTATTTTGAAATGAATGAAAATGAAAACAACATATCAAACGCATGGGGTGCAACTAAAGTAGTGCTTAGAATTAAAGCCTTAAATTCTTTCATCAGAAAAGAAGAAATGTAGGGGAATTCTCTGGTGGTCCAGTGGTTAGGACTCCAAGCTTCCACTGCAGGGGGCACGGGTTCAAGCCCTGGTTGGGGAACTGAGATCCCCACGTGTGGCACGGTGTGGCCAAAAGAAAAAAAAAGAAAAATGAAATGTCTCAAGTTAATTAATCTAAGCTTTCACCTTAAGAAAGAAGAAAAGATGAGCAAACTAAACCCAAAATAAGCAGAAAGAAAGAAATAAGATGAAAAAATTAATGAAATAAAAGATAAATAATAGAGAATAATCAATGAAACCAAAATCTGGTTCTTTGATAAGACCAATAAAATTGATAACCTCTAGGCAGAATTAACAGGAGAAAAGGACACAGATTACTGATATCAGGAATGAGAGTGGGACTTCACTGCAAATTTTAAACATTAAGAGGATAAATAGAGTTTTTCACTGGTATGAATTCTTTAGTCTTCTAAGGCTTCTACCTTGTAATAAATGCCTTCCCATATTCCTTACATTCCTAGGCAGGAGCTTTCTGTGAAGGGAATATTAGAAACAGTCTGAGGGTAACCCTGTGGCATCATGCTTTCATAACCTTCCTTTAGGTTGACATCAGCTCACGAATCATCCATCTTTAGACATGATCATTTGAAAACGTGTTCTCTGAGGTTGCTGATTTAGCTCACTGTAAACTCACTGTGGTCTGGCTGGGCTAGTGAGGGACTCAGGGCTAAGCAGCTACCATCACTACACTTCCTTCCTTGAGGGATTCAGTTGCTATTCTTTTGGTTGGTAGTGTCATGTTACATTCCTCTTCAGTGTGAGCCTCTCTGTCACATGATTTGGCAGATTAGTAGACTTTCACTCCTAAAACTCATCTGTGCTCTGCCCACCCCATCCTGCCCCCTAGCAGTATCCTCTGCGAATGGTGTCCTCTGGTGTTGTGAAGTTTATAAATTGAGTGGCCTTATCCATGGTAGCTAATCTTTTCCTCTACTTTTCAGGACTTGAAAGGTTACCAAAGACTTGAGGGAATGCTTCTTGTCTCTCTGATCAGCTATGCCATTTTTCCCCCTAGTCTTCTCTCCATATCTTCAGGCAAATCAGAGATCCCTGGGGCTCAGGGGAACCCAAGTGGAGAAGTCAGTATCACTTTTTCCTTTCTGAAGATTGCCAGGCACTTTGTAAGTGATTGCCTCGGGAGGTGAGATGAGGGGGTAACTTTTGTGGAAACTTGGCTTTCCTGAAATTTACTCAAA